GGGGGGGCTGCCCCGGGGCGGCCCCCCCACGTCGGGGCGCGGCGGGCGGCGGCGGCGGGAGCGCGTCCCGTCCGGGTCCTGAGGAGCCGCCGCCGCCGCCTCTTCCGCGAGAGTCGGCGGGGAGCGCGCGCCCTGCGGCCAGTAGTCCTCTGCGCCCGAGCTGAGCGGCCAGGCCCGGCCCCCTCTTCGCCGGCCGACCCAGTCCCTGCGGGCACCGTCCCGCCCTCCCCTCGGGGTGGCCATGGGGGACTTCCTCTCCTCCTCCGCCTCTCCTCGTCCTCCTCTTCCTTCTTCTCCTCCCGACTTCCCGCCTGCTACTCCCTGCGCTCTCACGACCCCCTCTCCTCCGGGACCCCTGTGAGCAGGGGACGCCCTGGACCCAACGCCCACCACCCAAGGGACAGCGGGGAGGTCTCTGTGCCAGTGTCTTAAACTGGACAGTGGCCATCAGCATGCTCCAGGAGGTCTGGGGCAGCCCCAGAAATGCGCGTGCCCCACCTGTCTGCCCAGGTAATGCTGAAGCCCGTGGTCCGGGTCACCCGTGAACAGCGCCCCGCGGCCCAGCCCCTAAGCCTCAGTCCTGACCCCTCCACCCCCTCCACCCCCCCTGTAAACTCAGCAAAGAGAAACCTAACAGCTGGAGAAGGTTGCTTGTCTCAAGCTAATCAGGGCAAAGTGGGGTGAGAGCTCCCTCGTAGGAGCGGACCTGCCCTTTGGAGCCCACTGGTAGAGGAGCTGTCTGCCCAAGGTGGTCACCGCGCCCTTGCACGCAAAGGTTTGGGTTTAGATGTTTAAATGGTCGCTGAGAATTAGAACTAGTATTCTGGCTCTTGTGGTTTTTACCATCAAATTAGGAGAGCCCTGCTGTGCGCACAGACCCACTACAAGGGTGATATAGGGAAGTGGAAAAGCCGGAGGCCAGACACCAAGGCAGGAGGGAATTTCCAGCTTCCTGATCCTCAGTCTTGGTGTCTGGTGTCACCAGTCCCCACGTGGGCCTGGGGTTTTCATTTACTTCTTATTTTTTCACAGCGGTACACACAAGTGCACGTTCAGAACGCATCACTCTGGCCGGAGTGATGTTAAGGGCATCCAGGAAGTCTTAAAAAGACTTGAGCTGAGAATTAATCGGTTAAAAAAAAAATGCTTTAAATTCATCCACATAGGTCACATTGCACCAGGAACCTCAGCTTCACTAGGCTTTGAGTGAATGTTCTGTCATTCTGTTACATGGTCAACAGAGTTCATCAGAAATGGTTAAGGTCAGATTTTGGACATTAAATGTAATGTCACAGCAGAAGCAGCCTGATTTGGTCATCGCAAGAACCCTGCCCTGTTTTGTTCTCTCCCTCTCCCACCGAGCCACCCCCGCCCCACCTTTTTCCCTGTATGCCTCCCATCACAACTGGCCAGTTTTACCAGATGCTTCTCAAGACCTAAGGCACAATATTCAGTGAAGTTGTCCAGAAAAGAACAAGAGGGGTGTAAGAAGTAGGCACGTGAGTCAAAGGAGCTTGGTCAGGCAGCAGAAAGCCAAAATGACAAGGGGGCACAGAATTCACCAATGAGACAAAGATTTGCATGAGCCAAATATCAAACTTTCATCTTCCACTCACTTTTTTTTTGCCAAAAAACAGGAACACAGAATGTCTTGTCAAGGGTCACCCCAGGAGGAGGGGTGAGTTCCCAAAAAAGCATAATGCGTTTCTATGATTTAATTAGTACAATTTCTTTCAATATGTCTTTTTATCATCCAAGCTTTCACATAATCAGATCGTCAAATAAATACATGCTTCTGCCTACATTTTCATGGTCTTCCGAATACTGAGATTTTTAACCTTGCCTCTTTGAACTCAGTTAAGAAATTTGTTTGGTAGTGGGGGTTTTTTTCTTTCTTTTTTGCGGGAGGAAGGGGGTGGGTTGCAGCATGGGGTACTAAGTTTGCAACAAGAGACACACCTGAATTCAAATCCCTGCTCTGCTCTGACTAGCTGGGTGACCTTAGAGGTAACATATTACCTCTCCGTGCTCATCAGTACTGTGGGAATGAAGCCACTGGACCCCAGTGTTGTTGAGAAGACAAAGGAGATAATACTCATAAAAATGCACCTTGCCTGATACCCAGTAGGTCCCCAATAAAGGTCACTCCATTTCCTCTATGTATTTTGCTTCATTTTACCCTCGCCTGCTGGAGAAGATACTGATTCACAGACACCACCCTTGAAGCAGAAAGATCCCTTACCAAAAGGTTATCTCCTTAGTGCATTTCTAGGAACCCAAATTGGCAAAAAAAAAAAAAAAAAAGACTAGCCTTTACAGACACAAGAAATGACTCTTCTAGTAAAAAGAACATAGAGCCCAAAATTGGGTCCCCTAACTGAGGCCCCTCCCCCAGTGAAGTCAGTGTGACCAGAGCACCCAGGGTGTCCTTCTTCGGTCTTCCTAGTGTGTGAATTTGGGGTGCTTGGCTCTCTCCTTTACCCTCTCACTTTCTCCACGCATTCCCCACCACCCCTTCTTTTCCTTAATGCTGAACAGCTTTTCATGTTCACTGCAAACAAAAGGCGCTGATGACAGTGATGAAGTTGTCATAACTGACCTGCTGGATCCTGTCGCTAAACACCAACGCCAGCCTGTAATCATTACGGATGAACAGAGAAAACAAATAGCAACCCATTTGTTCACAGCCAATAATGCTCCGTTGCAAATAAGTACGTTTCTCACCCTCCCCTCTCCAAGATGATTTCAATGACTCTGGGCTCACGCTGCTTGTGATAATTGATAAAACTTCGGAGTCCCTGCAAGGTTCATAATTTTCTCTTTTCTACGGCTTCCCAAGATCAGGGGAGGTATTGCTGAGATGGATGCATTAAAGTTTATACTCCCTGGGGTTAATTTTGATAACAGCTTCAAGGGAAGAAAGCTAACTAGAGAACTAAGTCATATTTGTTTTAGATTCTGGGCGTTACTGGGGCTTCCTACTTAAAGCACATGGGAAAAAAAGTCAACTCTAAGACTCCAATTAGAAGATTTTTGAGGGGGAGGGATAAATCAGGAGTTTGGGATTAACATACACACACTACTATATATAAAATAGATAATCCACAAGGACATACTGTATAGCACAGGGAACTCTACTCAATAATCTATAATAACCTATACGGGAAAAGATTCCAAAAAGAATGGATATATGTATCTGTATAACTGAATCACTTTGCTGTACACATGAAACTAACACAACATTGTAAATCAACTGTAATATAAAAAATTAAATGAAAAAAGCATTTTGGGGACCAGCAGAACGTGCCTGCACTTAATTCATTAATATCACAGTATTTAATTCAATCCCTGCCAAGAGAGACTTGGTTTTTTGGTAAACAGTCCCCTAAATATTATCACTTTGCAAGCAAACTGCACACACTTGGGGTTTGAATGGGTTTATTTCCAAACACCTCATTCTGTAAAGTCTGCAGGTGTTTGCAGCCGCGCCAGGGCCACTGTCCCAATTCACCTGTTACTTAGATCACAATTCTGCTTATTGTCACATGCATCATAGGAACTGCTTTTCATGCTATTTTAACAGCAAAGCTTTACAAATTTTAATGGAGGTTCTGTACCTAGCACTTCATACCTTAAAAGATCTGCAAGAAGTTCTAATACCAGACCTTGGTTTACCTAGCACTGAAATTACATTCAATACAGAAGTACCTTCCTTTAAATAAGTGGGTGGAAACACATTTCTCTGCAGAGGCTTCTGGTTAGTCCCTCTCTGTAGAGAAGCCTTGGAGTGATACAGTTCAGAGCCTGGGCTCAGGGGCCAGATGGCCTGGATTAGAACCCTCACGCCAGTACTTCTGAGTTGTGTGACCTTGGACAAAATGCTTAACCTCTCTGGGCCTCGGCACTCTCAGTGGTATTAAATGAGATTGCTGTGAGAACAATGTTGTAACATGAAAAACACTTAAAACAGCGTCTGCTGCTCAAAAAGTGTTATCGTTATCATCCTCATCATCATGAGAGTATCTCTACATTGGGCACAGCGTGATGGAAAGTGACCAGTCCCAGGAATATTAAAGCAGTGCTGGATGTGACACTCTGGCTTTAGCGTTGCTGAATTACTGTGAGTCTCTTCAGCTTTTTAAATCTCACCTTCCACTGCTGCCTAATGAAGGGATTGAATGAGCTGCTCCCCGAAGTCCCTTCAAATTGTAAAATTCTCTGGATTTATTTAATCCTACAGTGAATCCCTTTGCATGGTGAAGAATACTCACACCTCTCAAAAACATCTTGTGAGTTTCTGTTTGACCGTATCAGGATATACCAAGAGCATTAGTAATCACCGGTGCTACGATGCACGGGTGAGGTGAGCAATCAATCCATCAGCGGGTTTCTAGAGACAAGCACATCTGTATTTTCCTCCAGTATCTGCACTCAGCACACTGACCTTGCTTAATATGTGTTGAATGAATAAGTGAATGAATGAATGAATGAATGGCATAAAATGTTACAGGTTGTTTGCCCCAAAGAAACTTCTATCAGAGATAATCTAAAGGAAGGGGGGAAATGCTGTTGAAA